ATTACCATCTTGGTTTATCCTTATTCTTCCGCGCTCTGGACTGCAGGTTTCTCATGAGCAGGTTCCTGGTTCAAACCCCGCCTGGAGTTTGCATGTTCACCCAGAGGAGAGATGCAGGTAAAGTGCACAGACCGAAGCATTTGCTTGAATCTATGGTTAAATATGTAGTGTGAAGCACTTTGTATATATTTGTTTTATTCCTTTAAAACACACATTTCTGGTTTAATCCTAAACTCAGCTCTCACCTGAACCCAAAACTCACTTTGTAAACTGTGCTGTGATTGCAGCCATTCCCCAGCTCTCTGTGAATGGTTCTCATGGCCATTGATCAGTGGTTGTTGATCAGTGGTCATGAGAAGGAACTGAGGAACTGACCTCCCGGCCCATTGTTCCCTCACTGGGCTGATTTCAGTCATTATGCAAATGTCCTGTTTATAAGAAAACCTGCAGTCAGCTGAGACTGAAGGAGGCAGTTGGATGATGACGAAACGTTTCTACGTCCAGATGAACAGAATCAACTTTTGGAGATTTACTTTGTAAACATATCTTTAAATAATCATAATGGTGAAATGTTGTCATTTTATGTCTTTATTTATAAGAACAAAAGAGTAAAACCCTAAAATAACTTCCTTATATTTCAAAGAACTTGATTTAAATCTCACCAGAACAAAAAATCTGTCGATCGACTCGTAGATGGAAGCCTGCACGTCTTTAATTCATATCAGACGTTTCCCAGCGCGTCCTCGTCCTCCTGCTTCCTCTGGTTAAATCATTTTATCAGAATAAGAAACTTGATTTTCGTAATATCGGATGCTGATTCATTTACAAAATAAACAATGAAAATCGTGATTTGGAGCATCAACAACCTCGAATGAATAAATAGACTCAATTATTTGTCAGTACTCGATAAGTTTATTAAGGGACAATCAAAACGTCTTGCATGAAAAAGTAGGACCAAAGATAACCAATCGTTTATCTTCTCAAGCCCAAGCTCACAGTCAAACTAAAGGTTTCCTACTTTAGCCTCATGAAGTTAAATAGAAACAAAAAACGATAAAAGCAAAGCGCAGGTTTCCCTCGTCATCAGGTGCACATCGAACGTACGAGTTTATTTTACAGCCAAGATCCAACAAAAAAACCGGTTTACATAGAAAAAGATGATTAATATTCAGGAACATGAAGCAGAATTTACAGAATTACAAAAGTAGTAAAAAAAATTAAATAAAAAAGGTTTTTTACTTCTAGCACCACAGGCAGGAGTGAGTTCGTCACAGCGCTGGAAAGGTCTGTAGCTGCTGCAGATTTAGGATTTTAATAAAACCTGTTTGTTTCCTCACGGTTTTAAAAAACGGCTGAAATGAGATGGAGAAAAGCTGCTGCTCTTACACGAGCCATGCTGAGTTCAAGGCTAGTGGGAAATTTGTCAGTAAAAAGTTACATTCATGTGCCGTTACTTTTATTAAAATCAATAAAAATTAAACCTCACTTGTACATCGGCTTAAAGTGATTATTATAGTGAGTGAGTGATGTTAGCGAAGCTGTTGATCTCAACCTCATTGCTGAATTTTTAACAGATTTAGTTTTTGACATTTCACTACGAAGGCGTCTGTCCCATTGGCGGATAATAACTTTTATAAATCGGAACTGGAGCAGACTTTTTACCTGACACACTGTACGCGGTTGTTTTTGTAAGTCTAATTTAAAGTCTTTTTAATAAGAGCTGCAGTTTGCCTTAAAATCCGCTTTTTATTTACCATCGTAAGAGCAAACTGGGGAAGTAAAGGACTGCTGTCCCAAAGTTTAGGCCTCAATCTGTGATTTATAAAATGCATTTTTCACTCTGGCTCCTCCCTCTTTAAGATACCTTTAAGACAGCTTTCTGCTGATTGGATGGGTCCGGCAAACAGAAGGTTCAACGGCAGGTGGGTGGGGCTTAAACGTGAGAGCATAAAAAGCCGACATGAACAAACACTGACTTCATATCTGAATCTGTGGCCGCGTTTACAATGAGAATCCAGCACAGTACGTGTACATCTGACCGAGAATAAATCATAATGCTTCAAACTTACAAGAAAGATATTTGAAATATTTTTAAATAGGCTTTTTGTTGTTGTGCAATAAATGATAACTGACTAAAAATGCATTTTTTGTAAAACGTGCACCTGAGACTATGGTGATAATTAATCTAAGGGCCAAAATTCTAATTCTGATGCTTTCCATAAAATAAAGTGGCTGCATCAAAATCTGTTGAGGAAATGCACGAGGGAAACCTCATAGTTATAGGAGAGCACCTGAAGGAGGAGTATCATACAAAGAAATCGAACCCAGAGCTTTTTTAAGCGTATACGGTAAGACATTAGGCAACTCATCTGAAAATGAAAGGCTGAAGTTTAAAGGGTTAAACGGACACACTGACAGCTGCTGTGTTTACAGCTCGGGGACAAGAGTGGCGTCTCAACACACTGAGGACCGGGTCGCTGGCTTTTCATCTAACTTGGTTTTTCTAACCCGGTGCGCTCTGAATGTGTGACACATTTAAACGAATCATTTTCCAGCTTTGACGGGAATTCTAACGCTCCTCTGATCCTCAGTGTGTGTCGGCCTCACTCGGATCATCGATGACAAACATCTACAGTGTCTTCAAACACTCAGCTTCATACGCTTGTTATCGCGTCAGCCACACACGACTGGATTTGTAAACCTGCACAGGAGAATGAGCCTGGATTTTCGGCTTCGGTCGTCGTACAGGGCGTCAAACAACCGTCACACACAGCAGGAAACGTTTCTGCATCCTGCAGGAATCTAAACTGCATCCTGGTCCAGAAGAGTTGGATCAACAGAGGAGAGAAGCAGGCTAATAAATCATTATGCTCAGCTAAACAAAGCAAACGAAAGACGACATGCATATTAAATATAGTCTCGTTAATAGGTTTTATATGCTCAACAGGTCAAACGAAAAAGATGGGAATATTTAAATTAATAAATACTTAAAGCACGTAATAATTATGTGGTGACTACATATTAGCAGTGCTATTTGGTAGAAATGGGAGTTTTAGTGTATTTCAGCTTGCTGACAGCTAAAATCTGACATGTATTAACAAGCTAGTACAGTTAAAGTATACATAAGTACTGGACTTATATTCATATTAGTATGCAGCAGGGTCTGATTGTGTGCAGCTAAGAGGATCTCCTGGTGGGTCACGTCGGCCTCGTGTGGCGTCACTGTGGAGGTCCACAGGCAGCTGAGGCTCAGTGTTTTTAAAAACATCAATTAGAGCTTTGTTCTCACCAATCATTGACAGCTGTTGGTTATTTTTAATAGCATCTCTAAATTTGATGGGATGAGCTCGTGCAGTCGTGCACTAGCATCAGATCTTAATTTTTGTAAAATACGATGAGGCACGACAGGACTACTTGTAGAATCACTTTTCTAAGTGATGATATATCAAAGCTCAGATAGAAGTGGGCGTTAATAACAATTTGACTTTACTTTTGTTCATTTTTTTTTTGAGCAGTCTCTGAACTGGAGACAATTTCAGGACCAAGATGAATAAGACGTGAACGGCACTCTGTGGATCAGCGTGTGAAGGATTTGACTTCATAGCTGTATAAAGTGTTGGACCTCCAACATGGTTACCACAGCGTGTCCCGCACCACCTGAAACACCTCCACACACTGAACAGTTGGTGTTTTTAGGCTAGTAAGTAACAGTTTGGGACTAAAAACCAGCTAAACTCCAAACCAGCGTGTTGTGCATCTCCGCTCTTTAGATCTGTAGAGATTTTTATACATGACACCGTTTATACTTGTAGGCAGAATACTGGGGGGGTCGACCGACCACGTTCAGCCTTCCAAAGTGACTGTGTTCAACCGTCTTGCTCTTTCAGGGCAGTCATTTGGCATTTTTGGGAAGTCGGCTATCCTTAGACTTGTACACATTTCTGGCTTACACACAATTTAATATGTGCACACTGCACATTTCAGTATTTAGTAAAAAGTGCTAACTACGACTGAGTTATACAACACCGACCAGATTTTCTGCGTTTTAGATATTAAGCATTAAACATCAGGTCACAGGCCAATAATTTAAGCACTGACCGAGCAGTAACTTCACTAAAATAACATCCACAACTGTTTAAATCTGTGCCTCCTAAATCAGCACACTTCTATTACACCAGACCAATACACAAATCCACATGATTGTATTTACTACAGATACGCAGTAGCACAGGAGGAAACTGTGGTAGCCTCTGTTACTGCACTGCTATGGACTTGGAGTGTTGGCTGACGCACGCTGTGGCCATGCTGCGTTGCTAATGGTGTTTCTGTATTTTTGTGCATTTTTAAATTGCTCAAATTTCACAAAGTGCTTTTGACAAGCACAGAATCGCAGTGAGAGGAAATGAACCTCCAACGGCGCCTTGCAGTATTGTTTTCAGCTTAGAAATTCAGAGCCGGGACGTTGTTTGGACAGCAGCCTTAACCTCGAGTTGTTCCATCCAGAGTTCCTGATCCTCTCCTGCTGCCGGGGTTTTCTTATTCGGTTTAAGAGGCAAAATGATCATTTATACTGAGGCAAACTGAATACATGCAGGTCAGTCTACTGTAACAACAGAAAATCCTTAGTTGCGAATGGTTACACGCCACTCTTCAATACGCTGCCCTACATATACAAATCCTCTTTCAGGTGGTGTCCAAGTACAACTCTGTCAAACACCATACTCATGTTTGTACATAAAGAAAATCCAGCATTAAATATGTAAGTCGTATTCAGCACACAGGCTTTTGGCACCTTTAGTGGAAATGGGAGACTACGAGGGTGTAAAACATACAAACACATCAAAATAGAAATATGTACATACAAATAATGATTTGATCTTTCGAAAATATCCCATCACTCCTCCCAGCTCAGCGTCGTCTGTCTGAGAAGTGTTCTCTTCTTCTTCTACCTTCACTTCTCCCCAACATTAGGATTTCATTTCATTTAAGCCTCTTTTTTCCTGCTACAAGGTCGACCTTGTCCAGGCGTCTCTCGGTCGTCAGGATGATCCCGTCTCCCTCGCTCTGTTATCGAAGTTGCCCTGAGGAAACGATCTCGGATCAGAGTTCCTGGCTCGGCCTCGCGCAGGAACTAGAACTGATTTTTAAAGGGAGATGTGCTTAACAAGTCCAGTCAACACTTTGTGGAAAGTTTACTTAAATTTTCTCCTTGTGCACCTGTGCAGGTGAGGCTGGAGGCGATCCCAGCTGACAATGGACTCGGTCTTTGTTTGATTTAAATGCAAATATTATTACTCTTTGGCCAAACTGTGAAAATGCACATTTTTTTGTAATCGCTGCTAAAAGACAAGATTTCTAAAATGATCCTCAATCAGAGTCTCTGGGCAACTTCCTCCTGTTACTGGCATCCATTTGATGTCATAGCTATTTGCTTTTACTTAGCATTAACCATTTTGTGTCCCTTCCAACAGTATTTTCAGCCAGGGACACAAAATGGCTCATGTCGAACCAACCTTCGCTCAGTGAATCATTGGTGCTGATCGGTCGTTGGTTGTCGTCTTCTTGAGCTTGACGCCTCGTCGGATGGCCACCAGAAAGTCCTCCACCTCAGCGTATTCTGTTTCCTCCAAGAGCTCTGGGAGGGGTCGGCGCTCCCACTCTGATGACCGACCGCTGGGCTGTGGAGGTGGGGTTGGAGGATCCGATCCCTTGCCCATGTGCTGGATCTCCCAAGGGGCAGACTTTGGTGACAATGACCCGTTGCTGCCTGGTGACAGAGGAGTTGTGGCCGGGCTTAGCGGGGTCCGCGGGGTGTTGCCGTCTTCTGACGCTGCTTTGCTGGGGAATCCAGGGTGTTCAGGCACAGTGGGAGTCTTAACTGGGATCATGGGGGGCTTGATGGGGATGGGGCCCAGGTTGAGGCCCCCGGATGGTCGTCGCAAGTTGGGTTTGGAGGATGGGGTCCGTCTGATAGTAGCAACCCCCGGGGTGATTACAGCAGAGGGGTTGGAAGGCAGGCCAGCAGTGGAAGCAGGGCGTTTAGACTGAAACATGCGGCGGTAGGACTGGGTGATGTCGCTGTTCCTCGGGATGGTGGAGGATTTATCAAAGTCTGAGGACTGCTGCTCCACCTCCTGATCTGCTCCCACAGAGTAGTAGTCACAGTCCGATACTACAGAGACCAGGAGGGGGGAGAATTTAGCACGATAACAGAATTTGTTTGAATAGAGCAGAGTCAGCTGATGATCTCAAGCATTTCCCAGATATTATATAATTAAAGTCTTTTTAATTCACGTTAACTTTAATTAGATTTGTTCTGTTTAGAGTTTAGATCAGAGCGAGATTTGAGACGTTCAGAAGAGACACAACGGAAGTTTGTTTTTCAGTGATTCAATTCAGGTTTGTTTCTGGGTCCAGTGAACATTTGAATAAAGTTAGTGCTGAGCTTAGCAGCAACGCATCCTTTGCTGGAGTTAAACTGTGAAATAGTTTGTATTTAATTAATCTGGTGGGAGTAAGTTAAGTACGTTTACCCTGTGAGGAGATGGTGTCCTCTGAGCAGCAGGGTGTGTTGGTCTGGCTGCTGTAGCCGCTGGAGCCTTGCAGGGAATCTCTGCTGGAGCCGTGGATGTCCAGCTGGAGGCCGCGGGCCAGAGCTCTGGCCAGCTCCTCACGGGAAAACCCACAAAGGTCTCCGTGGTCCATGCTCTGTCAGTACACAAGAAGAAAGTAAGTCAGCACACACCACACACCAAAACTGCCATTCCTCCTGTCCACAGTCAAACATCCACAAACACCACATCTGTAATGCAGCAAAAAACACGGAGACCATTCTCACAGCAGACACACGACATAATCACACACAAAGGCGCCTACAACACAGTCAGGGGAATTAATGTGTGGATTATTGGGATTCGTCTGTCCAATCAGAATGCTCCCAGTTAGTCATGTGACTTTCTATTCAAGGACTTGTTTGGCATTTTGCTGGTCATTGTGTCCGACCTTGGGGGATGATGAAGTGTTGTTTCCTTTGCCCCTGTTTGGCTCCTCTCCTGGTGTGGTGACATCAGCACCCTGGTGGCTGCTGGGATCTGTAGTCTCTCTCCTGTCCTTGCTCCTCTTCAGGGTATTAACCATGGGCTGATCGTACGGGCCTGGTTTGGCCCAATCCTACACAGGAAGATATCATCAATAACAGTAAAATATTTTAATTGATGATAATTGTTGTTAATTTTGTCCATTAGTCAAACGTCCAAATAGAAGCATGAACAGAGGGATGTTTCTTTTATAGAAATGACAAAAATGCTCATGTTTGCTGCTGTGAGCAAATATTTGGAAACTGTTGCAAGAACACCAGAGGTCTATGCAAGCAAACCAAACCATTTTATACCTCAAAACACGCCTTTAAAAGTAGAAGCTATTATTTAAACTGTAAAAATGTAAACCACAGCCTTGCAGTTGGATGCCTCCACCTCCCAGTGAAGTTGGAGTTTACAACTCAGCCACAACATTAAAACCACACACAGGTGAAATGAATCGACGCTGATCGTTTACTTGCGTCCTGGTGTCCATAAGGATTGGACTTTATCGCTTACCGCCCACCTAAACAAAAAACTCCAATGACACTCCCCAACGGCAGCTGCCTCCCCCATCAGGAGAGGATACGCCACAAGAACAAGTCATTGAGGAAAAGTCCTTATATCCCAAATCCAATCAGAACACCAGAGCAGACACCCTGTCCCACAGCCCAGAGGGCCGAAAGGACCAGACTGTCACCATCCCAGAGCCAGTCACCCCACAGAACACCCGCTGTGGTCCTTATAGGTTGTTTTAACAGCATAACAGGGACCTACACAAAATTAGTCAGATGTTTAATGTTGTGGTTGATTCGTATATATGTACAGAAGACTTTAAATGCATTTAGCATGTGGACATCTAAATAAACCCGTCGACAGAATGTGAGGAAACAGCTATGGCATCATGTTAAAGGCGTCTCTGTCCGGTGGGTGTTGCAGGACCGGGCTGCATTCTCAGCTTTATGAATGAAGAATCCGATTTGCCCCAAACACAACATGAAAAATCTCAGAATTAAACGAGCTTGCGTTATCACAACAAGGCTACAGGCTATGAAACACTGGATTAGAAGTTATGTACATTTGAAAGTAGAAGTTGTAGTTCTCGGCTGAACAGCTAGGCTAATGCTTTTAGGTAAAATGCTGCCACCTGGTGGTGAGAGGAGTTTTGTAACATTCATGAAAATGGTGCCCGTTGATGGACAGCCTGAAAACTCACACCTGTCACCAGCACAGGTAAGCAAGGCTCTCTGTATAGTGTTAATCAATGTTGTTTTAAAGTTTACGTTTCAATTTTTAATCTTAAAGATAAGCAGGAATAAAATTAACAAAAATATCAGGTGAAATTGATCCTAAATTGAATTGACTGAAAAATGAGAAACTTTTGAGAGAATGAACTGACATCAAGAAAGAAGAGAAAATAACACACAGATCAACTCAAAGAAAAGAGGAGGACATCGGGGAGAATGAGGATCAAACCTTCCAGGACGGGACTCTGGATGATGGGATCACTCCAAGCCCCGAGGGGCTGAGAGGCAGGAACTCTCCTGATTGGCCGCAGCCTGAGCGAGACCACGGCCACGTGGGTGAAACGGACGAACAGGAGGGCGAGGAGATGGGAGAGGTGGTGGTAGTGGTGGTGGGAGAGGAGTAGGAGAAGTATGAAGGGTGGAGGTGGGGGTCCTGGGCTCCGTGATGGTCAAAACCATTTGTCAACTGAATGTGAATGAATGAAGAAGCAGAAACAATTCAAAAATTAAAGATGACGCTCACGACCGAGGAGTGAAAACACGAGACATGAGCGCAAAAACGGTGCTTCATGCAGCAGAAAAAGCAAATGTTTGGGCGGCAGTGAGGTCCCAGCATTCATACACCTCCAAACATCAAACATCCTGATTTATAGCACTGACGATTTCATCTGGAGTTTCTTTGAAGCAGATGATTTTTTCCCTTTTTAATCAGTATTTTATTTCACTGGCCTTTCCCAGTTTCTGAGATTTTGCAAAACAATTATGAAAAGAATTTGCAGTCTTACAAAAATTTGCTTCTACTAATGCCACCCAAATGCTCCCTACACATTTGTATTTCACATTTATGCATCTTTAATTGCAACAGAGTAATTTTATTCTACGCTAAAGATACTTTTAATTAAGCCAATAACATCTCAGCAAATATAATGAAAGTCGATCTTTGTTGTGTTTTTTGTTTTGGCAATTTATCCATGTGAAGCCCTGCCGGAGGAGGACGAGAGCCCTGCATAAGTTCTGATAACCAACTAAATTATGAAGCATCACTGGGGACCATATGGTGATGTTCATTAGGTTTCACTGCATGTTTCCTGTTTTAGTGACGTAGCTGAGATGTGCATCAAAGTCACTCAGTCCCAACTGTGCATTCACGAGTAAATCAAACATGTCGACTCAATATTCATTTTAAAAAGTTCAGAATAACTGTTTGCCTGAGAGCCTCATCATATGAATATCTCATATTCTGAACAGTTACCTGGTAAAATGACCAGGTAACCTGACCTCTTCACCCTGACCATAAACAGACCAGACTGGGATTTCTTTGGCTTTTGTAAATGTTTCTGTTTGACAAACCTGAGGGGAAATCTGTTTGTTTTTGGTCCCTTTGTTGCTCACAGAGCTCGGTTCCCTTTACATGGGTTAATTAGACTGAGTGAGTAATCTTTTAATCCATTTCACGGTGGCGTGAACATCGTGTGCTGTTCTTAGTTTTCAGGATGTTGATGATTATCAGGCTGCCAATCAAACCTGGAATATTTCTTCCTCCTCAGCCAACACTAGATTATATTTTAATTGTTCATTTATTCATTGCCAGTGTTGAGCACTGAATGTAATTGGATTTGTTAAGCAGCTGGAAACGTTTCTGTGCAGTCGGCTTTTTGTGCTTCATGAAGGCTCCCGTTCATATCACTCAAAAATAAAAGCTTCACGCTGCAGAGTGTGACACACAACTCACCTGGAAAAACAAGAACAACAAAACACTAACACAATTGTGTGTCTACGTGTTCACCTGCTGCTGCCCGGAGCGTGGCTCGGGGTGCGAGGGTGAGGAAGAAGAGGAGTACGAGGAAGGCCCCACAGTGACAGACTGAGAGGGTGAAGCAGAGACGCACGACTGCAGCAGCGCCATGCAGAGCGCACACAGAGACGGCAGTTTGCAGGAAGCACAGAGGGAAGCCAAGAAAACAGATCAAAACACAGACACGAGAGAAAAGCAGAGGAAGCAGCAACAAACAGGTTAGAACAGCAGGACAACCAGTGCTGGGGAGCATTAATGCACATGCAGTTTTCAGATTTCTGCATGTCTAAAATGATTAAGACGGGTTTAAGTGCAGTGAAATTGGGTTAGGATGTGTTAGGAGGAGTGAATCTATGAAACATTTAATGAGAAGCTGTAATCTCCCAAACACTGATCCCAGGTCAGAGGTCAAACAGAGCAAAGACGAAGCAGAAGCCGGTTCAGCAGGTGGAACGAGAAACTATCAACTTTATGAATTTTTTTTTTTTTTAAAAGCACTACTACTAGTATTTTCTCATTATATTTAACAGTGAGTCGTGTTGGAGTGAAAATCAGAAACAGAGCTAACGCAGGCTGAAGCTTCAGGTCTGTGTCTTCTTCTATTATGTCATTCATGATTGGTTAAAGTTTTATAATAGCAGCATGGCTGATATCGCAGTGTCACAGCGTGCTGGGTTACTGAGGTGAGGTGAAGATGAAAGCACACGGCAGGCTGTCGCACTCTGAACGTCTCCTTCCTCTCACATCACAAACATCCTGTCATTTTGTTCATGTGCTAAATTATCAGCACAAACAAACTGACTACATATAATGTTTACGTCCTAATTATCTTTGCTGAAAAAACATCAGCACCAACAGACCGTGGACACCTTCACGCTCCGTCTTTGGATATTTAATTAATGTAAATTATTTTGGCACAGCACTAAAACTAAAATGATCGTATTTAAAATAGCTTAACTCGAGTAGTGCCTATGATGTGTTTTATATATAAATGTATATACATGTATGTATATGCAGCTGGGTAGCGAAGTGGTAAGCAGGTGCTGCAGTTCCAATTCCCGCCTGAGGCGTCTCACAGCTAGAGCCAGGGGCGATATCATCACCTCCACCTGATTGGGCACCAGGATCGTTGAGTGCGAGAGGAACTGATCTTTATTTAAAATAAAGCCTGTGTAGGCTCGACAACGTAAACACTCAGCAGTATTTTGTCATTTCTCCAACATGACGACGAGATTGACTTTTTTAAACAAGTAACAGCAAAAGATGATGATGTTGTTGTTATGAGTGTTAGACATGGCTCTAAATTTGACGATACCTCGAGTTTATAGATAGAAGCCATCTATCTCTCTGAGGTTACTGAGACACGCACACGCGACATGTGGCTTCCAGCTAACAAACACACCACATCGTAGGAACTGGGGAACATCCGCAGACATCATAAACAGAACTCACTGGTTTATTTTTGGCATCTGTTCTCAGTGAGTCGATGACTAAAAGCACTGAGCCGCGACTTTTGTTACCTGCAGGGTCTCTGGGGGCATCGGTGAAGGGGATTTGGACTGGTAGGCGTCCTGAGAGATGAAGCCAGAGTCGTGTGAGGAGATTGAAGAGAGGCGGGCAGGTGTCTGCTGGGGCAGCACTGAGGAGGAAGAGGAGGAGGAGGCGCGATAACGGAAGTGGGAGGTCGGGGAGTGACAGTGTGAGCCGCTGGAGCGAGAGTCACTGCTGTTCACGCTGTTCAGGCTGCTGTGGGCCGGACGGGAGGAGACAAATAAATGTCAGAAAGAAGGAAACCTGAGAAGCTCTGAAGTCATTCGCTGATTTTCTGTTTTAAAATCTCAGCTCATCACATGAAAGAATAAACAATCAACCCGAAAAATGAGTCAGGCAGATGAAATATTCTGAGTAATAAGACATGATGGTAAAATAACATTTACTGGAGTTATTTCTCTTTGATAAATCAAAACTTTCAAAAAAATCGATGATTTTAAAAAAGCTGTAGTTCCACTTGTTAACCACAGAGAGGCAGCAGAGGACAGGCTCTCAGCAGACCACCTTATCTCCCTCTATTGTTGAGATAATAAGCAGCTGGCAGCAGCCACATAACTAACCTGCACATGCTGGACTTCCTGGATACGGTGGTGCTTGGTGACGAGGGAGGAGTTTGGTAGGACCAGGTGCGCTCGGAGCCCTTCAGGTCTACGATTACCTGGAGAGGAAAAAATGCTGTGAATCGTCTATGATGTTTCTGTGAAGGTGTCTGTGTGCAGTCAGGTCAAAGGAAGGCGTGTTTACTCCGTGTCGAGGTTACCACTGATCAGTGGGTAGAGTGAGTGAAGGTGTACTGAACGTGCTTAAATATTTTAATCGGTACAGAACGGGGCTGAAACAGACATTTATAACAGAGGACAAATCGTTCGATTGTGTGGTCACACGACCCCTCACAGCACCACGAGTACCTGCTCACTGGAAGCGGGCAGCTTGTGTGGGTCCATGGTTAGCATCTTCAGGTCGTCTGTCAGCGTCTGGAGGTGTGTAATCTCCCCCAGCATGGACATCTCCTCCTCCTGAGACACACAAACATTCATCAGCTGCAAATTCTACACAAAAAACAGCTTTGAGACTGACGTCATCACAGCAGCTGCTCCACAGGAGGTTTGAAGAGAGAGCTGCAGCACAGAAGGTGTAGGAGTTGATGTTCGTCAGAGATTTACATTTGGATTGCAGCTGCTGACGTCCAGCAAAGCATAAACATACAAATCTAAGGGGGCCAGGTGTTTCTTCAAAGGCTTGCAGAGTTTCTGCGTAACTGTAGTTAGAGCTCCAAACATCTTTCTGTGTTGTGCATAAACAGTTTGAATGCATCACTGACCACGACAGGCCGCAGCATGGACACGAAGCAGCAAAAGCGACTCCTCTCCTCCACCAGCGCCCTCCTCACCGCCTGCTTCTCCGTCTCCTCCAGCAGCAGGTACTTATCGCTGACGTCCTGCATGGCGCTGTCCAGCTGGGGCTGCAGGTCTCCACGGCCTGAACACAAACACGTGCACATACCTCGTTGCATCCAATTTCAACTAGAAACAGCAAGCAGACCCTCACAGCCACTTGCCAACCAGTTGGAGAATAGTCATTTTTCCCTAGTGACCAGTTGCCAACTGGTCTCTAGACCTGTGAATGGGTGCAAAAGCTACAGAACAAAAAGTTTGAATTGGGCCTGCTTTGTTCCAAAGTTTGTGCCCGTCACTAAAACACATTCTCTTTTACAGTGGGGGATGGGCACAAGGTAAAACCTCCTGTGGAAATCAAGCAATGAAGAAAAGAAGAAATAGCAAACATTCTGGAAAAATGCTGCCCTCTGCTGATGAAAGTTTTAGTCACAGGAAGTATCTTTAAGGCATAAAATAGCATAAAAAGAAAGGAAATGGGGACTATTTGCAATAAAAGGTAACTAAAAATCAAAACGATACACAAAAAAAAGAAAAAGTTGTCTTTCAAAATGCTGATTTAAACTTTTAAACTTAAGCAGCCACCCAAAGGTAACACCAGAGTTTTCTAAATCTCTCTCTCTTGCAGACCTACACATGAGCAGAGGAACCGTTTCTGCGGCGTTAACAAAATGCAATCACTTCAGTCCATCTTGGCTCAGATCAACAAACTCACACAGAACTAAAGAGGAGGCAGCCTCACAGCTGCAGCCAGATTATCAGCCATCTGTGAAATCCAATTCTCACTGAACAGAACTTTAGCTACAAAGAGCAGAGCCTGCTCTGAAACTACGATCACTCAGTGGCTTCAAAAACAACAGTCAGAGCCTCCCACAAACCATTAACCACATTAAAGTCTCAAACAAGTCTTTTCTCTCTGGCGATCAGTCAGCTGGAAACAAACAACCACTGGAATCCCACTGAAAACACACCACACATTAATAATGTTTGCCATTTTGAAATTACATTGCTGCTTTTATGAAATGCTTCTGGTTTATTTTTTAACTCTGTCCAAATGTCTCAACTCTCCCTTACTGCAAGTCTTTACTAAAGCGGTTTCATACACAGAAGATTAAACTGATTTCACGTGTCGACACGGCCGTTGCGACATGAGTCGGATGAGCTGGAGTCTGTATCTGCTTTAATATCATCTCCCACAGCGACTGTAATTGGATTAGTTAATTTACTTTGTGACACAGAGCAAAGCTGAACTATTTTTACATTGTTTCATTGACTGATCGAGAGCAGCTATTGTGGGCGTGGGTTTCCCGGAGCGCTGAATATGTGGAGTGTTTGGGGATCTTAGCACGCTACACGTTAATTCTGGTAAATTCATATGTTCCAATTGGAAATGTGGAAATGTTGAACAGGAGTATAAGGCGACTTAGATCATCCCTGGTGAGTCATTACTACATCCAGGCGTATTTTACTCTTTTCTTCCATTTGCCCGCGTACTACGAAACAGGATTCAGGGCTTAGCGAAGGAACTTCAGGTTTCACCCTGTGATTTCCATCTTATGAAGAAAGTTCACAACTTATGCTGCAGACCTGACCACCTCCAGATCTACTGACCAAACGATTCTCTGAAAAACAGCATCAGGTCTTTACTTTACTTTCCTAAATGCAGCTTTATTCCTTCTTTATTTGGCTGTTGGCTGAAAGCAAGTTTAGAACCATTTCTGACAATGAGTATAGATCGGAAACAGGCCACCCGGGTCTCCCGAGGCTGTTAAGTTAATATTTCTGCACTGCTGTATTATAACATGTAATGAATGCATTGTGCAATACTGAATTCTTTCCTTGCTGGTTTCATCAGCCCACAGCTCCACTTTAGAGGATGTTAGCTTGTCAACAGCTGCTTTGGTGTCTTCTGTTAGTGATGGATCTGAAATGTTTCAGCTTCTTGCTGAAATATGCAAGAAGGTACCCAAGCACACTGCTTTAAGACAACTTCCTGTCATGTCCAGAGAACAGCTTTTAAACCATTATGTGGCATGACATGAATCATTACCATGGATGCAAGTTTATTTTGATTCCTCAGACTGTCCTGCTTCCTTAAACACTCACTGGAGAACAAAATCTGAGTTAATCCATCAACAACGAGGCCCCCTCCAAAATGCACCCTGCACCCCCAATTCGTTAAAACCACGGACAGTGCCATGAACCGCTTGCAGCCGAGGCCCACAGCGGCAGAGAGCAGGCAGACCAACATGTGATTACTCAGTCTTTTCTTGACTTTGCTGTCATGAAAATACGACATGACAGAGCAGACTGAAAAATGCCTGCAGCAATTTTCTAAACCTCAAAGCGACGTTCACTTTTGTGTGACGAGATCACATTTAATCAGCTAATTTCACTCCTAACAACTGCTGTCTTTCCCCCTTCACATGGTGCTCTGGGGTTCAGTTTCTCCTCTTTAAAGCGATCGTTTGGTAATCTCATCTTCTGGATTTGAGGACAGACATAAACATGCAATTAAAGTTCCTCATTCCTCCAGCGAGATCCGAGGCCGGCTTCTGTGGTCGGGCTGATAGACGGGAGAACGCGCGCCGTCTCTCTGTAAGAATTTTCCAAGCACAGGCTTCAGTGATAAAGAGGAAAGAAATGGTGAAGACTTGCTTCCAGAAATGTGAACGTAATTCCAGGTTTCCCACAGAATTCAAACAAACAGGATGTCTCGGGCAGAACATCGCTCTTATGTTCTTGTTTATCTCACGATCGCCTCCTTTTTTGTCTAAATCGAGACATTTCTGAATGCTTTCTTTTCTCCTCATCCTCGTGTCCTCTGTTGACCTTTGCGTAGCCTTTTCGATACAGGTCAAACTGAGAAGACCCACAATCCCAAGACAACAAGCTTGTGCACTCCAAAGGATTGGACAACATGGAGTTCCACTGTAATGCAATCAGGGGTCTGCGTGAGAACGTTGCATTTACCAAACCCAATAACCTAACCGGTTCATGGTCTTTCTGTCCTCTCGCCCCTCGTTGGTCGCTGCAGATGGCTGTCCCTCCCTGAACCTGGATCTGAGGTCTCTTCCTGTTAAAAGGGAGTTTTTGCCGTCGCCAAGACATCGCCTGGTCATTGGGGTTCTCTCTCTCGCTCTCTCATTGTAGGATCTTACTTTCTCTGATTTTTAAGATTCCTTCGGATAATTGTTATTGGGAACTGATGCAATAATAATTCGAATCTTAATGGGATGAGTTTAAATACCTGGAGTCAAACACCCAAAGCAAAAGGTCAATGCACAAGAGTGCAGGTAAGGTGGAGTGGGTGGAGACAATTGACCAGGTGTCTCTTGGAAATTAGATTTAAATCTCATCACAAATCACTTTTCACCTGGATAAATAAAGAATGAGAGTAAAAGGGAAGATTTACAAGATGCTAGTGACATAAAAAAATGACAGGAGACAGAGCTGAAGATGTCAAGACTTTCATTGGCATTGAGCAGCTGAGGTTGAGCAGCTGAGGTTGAGCAGCTGAGGTTGAGCAGCTCAGGTTGAGCAGCTGAGGTTGAGCACCTCAGGTTGAGCAGTTTGGAGAGGCAAGGCTGAGGTGGTTTGGACATGTGCAGAGAAGAGATAGTGGACATACTGGGCAAAGGATGTTGAAGATGGAAGCAAGAAAATAGGAAGACCTCAGAGGAGGTTCATGGATGTAGTGAAGGGGGCCATGCAGAGGGTTAGTGTAGGGGGAGATGGAGGAATATGATCTGCGGTGGCGACCCTTCAACGAAGCAGCACATTATTTCTGTTGTACCCTGGATACCTGCAGTTGCTAGGTTTTTAATTTTTTTTAGACACACACACACACACACATGCACACAAACAGAGCTCAGGCTCAGCCTAATCTAATCACAAACACACAACACCACACACACACACACACACACACACACTCTGAATTTAAAAGAGGACACTGAAGACAAACTGGTGCAAACTGTCAGCTACAAAACTGATTTTCAAACTCCAGCAACTCCAGGATCCCATGTGATACTATAATAAAATCTATAGAGGACCATAACACCCAATTAAATTCAGCACTACATGGTGGTGTCTATGATGGGGTACTGGAGCTCACCTCACACATGACCCACCGCTTTAGACCAGCTGTGCTGTTTCCAGCTTCGCATCAACAGTTTCTTTCACCTTTTCCTGTTTAAATTCGATCCATTCCGAGTTCCCGTGCTCAAAGCCAGCGCTAAAAATAAAAAACCTTTCTTAAGGTGGTTTCCCTCAATCTGTTTCTCATAATATTAACTCTTACTCAGAGCTTTCCCTTCATTTTCCAGTCTCCTGTCATTACATTCATTTCATTCCAGCACAAGTTCCTCCACCTGTTTTTTTCCTTCCTTGAAACTTCTCCATGTCCTCTTCCCTCGTGACATCCACTCCAGTGCAGAGGGAGTTTCCTCTCGTGCAGTAATAACAGGCTGGGAGGACCTGAGGACTGAAGCAGTCTGACCACATCTGAGGTTCCTCTGGGGTCAACCCTGGTTCCTGTTTGTTTTGTCTTAGAAGCTCAATTCAAAGCTGGAAACCATCGAGTCCTTTGTTGGCAGCAACAACGAGCTTTTGTTTCCAGTCATAATAAGGCTCGTTTCAGTGCGATTGCTCAGACTGGGACTACTTGTTCTAAAAGCAGAGCCTGTTTTGGTGTTTACTCGTAGTCCTTTGGAGTTCAGCGGGCAGAGTGAAGAAGTAATATTGCCACATCACATTCCTGTAATTCCACTGGACTTCATGCTATCCTAAAAGTTATTTTAGAACAATTTAGTCAAGTCAGCGGTCATGCTATCAGCTCTAAGAGCCTGCAAATAAGAGGTTTACTCTGCATTAACAGCCTGACCCTGGAGGAGCATCATCTACAACTGTGAATGATCAAAAAATATCCTGATATCACTGCATTTAGACAGACCACTGATATCGGCTCTGTTATAGCTCTCATCATCTACAATGATCCTCATCTATCTCTGCTCTCTCAAGTTTGAGGTCCTCGGTTGAAATCGCAGTCTGCACAGGTAATGGTGCTTTACACAGGATTCAGCACGTACTGTGTTCACTGCTGTTAGATGGAGCTGAAGAGGGCGGCGCTAACGTGGACCTCCAGGTTGTTATCTGAAAATAGCATCAGTGTGGAAGCATGCCCGAGAAGACGATGCTGAACAGGAGCTCAGTTCATTTTACATTAATAAGGGCTTTTGGTCTTTATGGAGCTGTTTTCCAAACTTTTTCATCACACCTCAAACATGCTGGATAACCTCAGCAGCTCTGTCAGCGTCCGTTCATCCGCCCGCCCTCTTCTACTTATCTGAAGTCAAGTCATGGTGGCGGCACCCTAAGCAAACTTTCCAGTTCCCTCTGGGGGTTCCCAAAGCATTCCTATTCCAGATGAGATAAGTAATCTATTCAGCCCGAGCCACCTTAACTGGCTCATTTTGACGCTGCAGGAGCGACAGCTCTACTCCTCCGGATTCCTCCAGATGTCCGAGCTCATCGCCCCATCGCTAAGTCCGAGCCCACCCACCCTTCAGATGAAACTAAGGACGTTTTCACACCTGTAGTCTGTTTACTCTGAATCCGAATCAGCTGAGGCGTCACAACATGACTCTTTCAGTCATTACCCAGACTTTGTGACCAGAGGTGAAGAGTCGATGGACGGGTAAATCGAACGGTGCACCTTTGAGCAACGCTCTCTTCACAGTGGCTTCACCAATCCAATGCTCTCCGACTTCCCATCGCATGTGAAGAAGCTTCCAAGATGTTTGAACTCCCTTGCTTGACTGAGCCTCTCCACAACCCCAAACATTTGGTGCTGACCCTGTCGTGTGCTGCGTTCGGGGCTGAGTCACACTGGTTGACACGGTTTTACTGAACGAGCCATGAAAATATTTCCTTTGAAGACTCTCGTTCGGTGTGCCTCTAGTCTTTGTTGTGTGAGTCACACAAACATCTAAACAGCGTGGGAACATGTTTCAGCCGACCGAAGTGGGCTGGATGTCAAACTCAAACTGAGCTGGAGGTGTCAGAGTGCGACTGTCTCATATTCACCATGTTGATATATTCACAACCCTCTAAGCTGGCCCTCTGGATTATCGTGGAAAACTTTAACACACTTTTTTTATTATTGAAATATTAAAACCACACTCAGACTAAACATTGGAGAAGTAAAAATGGAAAACACCAGTCTCCTGAGCCTTTTGCATTATTGAGAAGAGCAAGAAAGGTGGATAGATGGGTGTGTACTTACCGAAAACATCAGCTGGACGAGCAAAGCACGATGGGATGCCAAAGGAAACACATAAAAACATGATATTAGCTTTTACATCTGCACATTACTCCATGCCAGTTACACCCTATAAAACAACTACTGATTGAATTTTCCCACAAATAGCACAAAGTGTTTAATTTAAACAGTTTCAAGTTGCAGCAAAATATCGCAGCCCCTCAGCCGCAGTTTTTTATGCAGTGAACCCACACGTGACAAACCTTTCTTAGCTTTCTTCTGCAGCTTTAGAGTGTCTGATGATCTCTTCTTGATCTCCTGACGGGCTTTCTTGTACTCTGGAAAACGCACACAAACACAGTGTGAATGCAAACAGCGTGTGAAGTTTGAGATGCATGTAGAGGTTTCGTGTGTGTGTGTGAGAGAAACCTTTCGCATGGTCTTTATCCAGAGTGTTGGCGACTCTTTTCCACTCCTCCATCTGCTCCTGTAGAGGGTTGATCAGACAGTCCAGAAACACCCTGAAAGCGCGCGCACACATACACACACACACACACACACACACACACACACACACACACACACACA